GCTAACTTGGCAAGGCTTAGCCAATGTGGATGCCCAGTGGCAGGGGGGGGTTTTTCCTTGGGGGGGGGGGGGGGGAGTGGAGGTGCTCCTCGACACGGTGCCCTCAGCTGGCCCTTTAAATGAGCAGAGTGCCCCAGCTGGCCTGTTTCATACATTTTAAAAATTTTCAATTTTTCATTTTAATTTAAAAAATAGTACGTATTTTCGGAATGACAAAAGAGCAGGGGTTCTCAGGCTTTTTGGCCCGTGGCCCACCCGACTTTATGAGAACCTTTCCATAGACCACCAGCTCCTCACAGAAACCTGCCATTAATTATATCATTAGGCCCATTTTGTCAGGGCTGCAGCGAGAGAGAATGATTTAATTTAACCAGTAAGAAATGATGTATTAATCAAAATTATTAAGCAGATTAAACACTTTAACTTTCTGATGTTAGTTTACCAAACGTCATTTTAAACGTAGTAAAATATTATGTTCAACACAAAAGATGTCAACATTGCCTGTCTTTATGGCAGGGTTAGGGAACGTATTTTGGGTCGGGCCACAGACCTACAGAAAAATCAGTTGGGGACCACACAAGTGACAAACAAAAAAAAAAAAACCTTCCAAAACTTCCCAACACTCACTGATGTGGCCCCCAATTGAGACACTTCACTCCCCTAGTGCTCTAGCCCCATGGGGAAGGGAGGGACAGGGAAGACTGAGGTTCAAGGCCTCAGACCATATTAACTCTTCTGGAGATCCAGAGTTAGTGGATTTTGGGGGCCCCTCTAGGCTTGGGGGTGGGGCTAAAATGAGAGGTTCAGTGTTTGGGACAGGGTTGCTCATGAGTGGGACAGGGGTGGGGGGAGGGATGCAGAATTTGGACAGCAGGTTGGGAGACAAGAGGGTAAGGTTGCAAGGTCTGGGTGGGAAGTAGGGTGCAGGACAAGGGAGGGGGCAGGTTGGGAGTAGGGTGTCTGGCCGGGGGAAGGGTGCAGCAACAGGGTGTTTGTAGGGTGTGTGGCCAAGGGGGAAGGTGCAGGAGGAGGCTAGGGACAGAGTCTCTGACCAGGAAGGAGAATGCAGGAGCAGGGTGTTAGTAGGATCTCTCACTAGGTGTGGGGTCTCTCTGGCTGGGCAGGGGGCGGAGAGAAGGCATGCATTTGTTTTCGCATTGCATGCCAGTCTAAGGCTCCCTGCCCAGGCATGGCCTCCCGCTGCCCCAGCTGGCTGGACTCCAGCCAATGGCAGGGGAAGATTTCCGGGAGGCTGGTCCTGCACAGCTTACTT